ACACTTTCCTATTATTTTCTTTATATTGAGTAATAGAAACCATTTTTATAAAATTTCCTGTGACAATTTCATGAAAATAGCCGACCGTTTTTAATTCTATGAAATTTCCAGAGAATTTCCTTAAAAAAAAAATGAAATTCTCGGTAGATTTCATAGAAATGCCTCCAAGGTCTCATATAAACGGAAGTATCCCAAAAAAATATGAAGTTTCCCGAGAATTTCATAGAAATAGTCTGGCGACCACGCGCGCAGACGTAATGATACGGATTCGCGGTTTTGTTTTATTGAATAAATATGCTTTTCGTCTACCGATTTCTATTGCTAGTTTTCGTCCCAGTTGATATTAAAATTGAAGAGTGTTAAGGAGTTTCATATGATCTATTCAATCCTTGCTTTTGGGCCAGGCACCGCATATGACGATCATCCCCTCCGCCTCAGGAGGGAAGATCCTAGCAACTCCTCTGCCACAAACACCTTCCTGCGAAGGTCTGAGCTAAAGCCATGCCTCCTCTGCATGATGACTAAAGTCACTAAAGTAGTGAGGGGAAGTCCGCTCGGCTTCGGGATGGGGATACCGTCTGCGCAGCTGCAATGTCTCTTGTCATGTGCCACGGCTTTTGCACATCCCCTGCCGCTGGATGCAAAGTGAAAAAGCTTGCTGCTTGTTACGCGGGTTGTAAGGGTCGCTACAATTGAGGGGGTGCTCTGTCAGAGGCTATCAGTCTCGCTGCTCCCAGCTGTGTCTTGGACACCGGAGCATGACTGCCCCGGCCCATCAGACGAGTAGCGCCTCCGTCAGCTGCAAACGGAAAAGCAGAGCAGCCACCATCACTCACCCACCGCCAGCATGTGAATACATGCTTACGACTGAATCCCTAAATCCGAAACTAAACCCGACGCATGTGTGCGATAAAAGCAACGACTCCTACCATGACTGAGCCTGGCCGTCCTCTCCGAACAAGGGCAGAAAGCCTGCCACGCCATCCTCGACTCACTTTCACGGCAGTGAAGCAAAAGGGCTTTGCGCGCCGGAACTCCAGCACTGCATGCAGGGGGGTAAGGTATAAGGCTGGCAAGTTGGGCATGATGTTGAAAAAAACCTACGAACATCTTGGAGTCGTTTTGAAGCAGCGATGTTGAGCTCGCGACTTTCTTCGCTCGAACACGAACCATCAAGGCGCCGCCTGGCAATACAAATTTCACCCACGGAATTCGAAGTTTTTGTACATTCAAGCCACATTCGGGATAAGGATCTTCTGAACGTCTGGCCTCCTGAGCTTGCGTAGGGCTCTGGAGCCTGCAAGCAAAAAAGCGTTGAAGGTTAGGATCTGTCTTTGGTCCAAGTCTTACAAGCATCGCAACACCAGGGCCACATGTCGGCTCTCAGGGCTCTGGCCAAGCCTGACAAATCTCAACATCCTCGCCCGCGGCAAGCTCACGCACCACCTGCAAGAGGTCCGTGATCCCCAAAACGGCACAAGTTGAGCTGGTGGAAACAGTTTCTGAAGAGCACCTCTGCATCTGCATCCATGGATGTCCGCAGAGTGGCATCTTTGGCACACTTTTGGCCTAAGTTTCGGGCGCACCAAAAAAAAGTGCATGTAGATTGCCAACAGCCGATCACTCTTGGGGTCCTACGGTGTATCCAAGGCTGAACAGCTTCATCGACTGCAAACCACCCCTCGCCTTTGCACTTGCGCATCTACCGTCCTCATGAAGCCACAACGCAACTCTCCCACGCAAATGGCAAAACCTCACACATCCTCGCTGGACTGTCGCATACTTGAGTACAACAACCGGTGCCACAGAACAGGCCGATTCCATCCGAAGCGTGCCTACTTGAGCGGAGCTTGACAGGCAGCGCCCCCTCGCAAAAAGCTTGCCTGGCGGCCAAAAGCCAAACCCTCCTTAATCCATGTTCTTCACTTGACGTATATTCGAAATATCTTGCAGATCCGGCAAAACCATGTGTAAGTTTGAGGATATGGTTCAGGGTTTCGACTCGCACACTCGCAAAGCAGGCACGGATCCAGGCAATGCGTCAGATGGCGATTGCTACGGGAACATGAGAGACAGCCTAACAGGCCTAACAAACACGACATCGAAGAGGATTTACCCCCAAGCTACTCTACAGTTGTTTCGACTCACACACTCGGACACAGTGCTTAGGGTTTAGGGAGTTTTTGACGCTCACACTCGGCAATACCAGGCGAGGTCTGCAGACAACTAGCGGCTCCAACAGATAGGGTGTGTACCTATCTTTCTGGTTTGCTGTCCGGTAGGCTTAGGGGTTTGGGGTTTAGGGTCCCGGTCCTGCCTTGTCTTGACTCGGTCGTCGGGTCTGAGAGCAGCTCGAAGTCTGAGCGGCAAGGCGGGCCGTTTTGGGGGGACTTCGGCTCAAGACAGAGTCGAGGTTGCGGCGCTCACCAGGCTCGAGTCGCCTGACCTCCCAATCCAAAATGAAGTTTCGGCGCTTAAACTCTGAAGGGCTTAGGGCCGTTTAGGCTCAGGGTTTCAGCACTCACACTCGCACTTACCCAGGCGAGGTTCCTGGTACCGCTAGGGTCTAGGGTTTAGGAAGCCCTGGCCCCTTAGCCTCGCCGGCGGTAGTCTCCAAGTCGACCTCGCAAGTCGCAGCGAGAAGGTCGGGACAGCCGGTGACCCCGACAGCCGGGAGACGCGCGCTGTGGGTGCAAGTGTAGTGACGGTTGTTCTCCGCCACGTACATGGTTCCTGACGACAGCCAGGTTTTCTGTGAAGCTGGTGTTGTGAATTCATACTTGAAGCCCCCATCCAGAAGGCATCGAACTTGACAGCTCAGCGCAGTAGTAGTAGTGCCTTTTCAAACCCTCCTCTGCCTGCACACGTCCTTTTGGCCTCTGGCATTTGGTTTCCAGAGTTCCCATCCCGGCCTTGATTTCCTTGTGACGTGGCCCAACCTTCTTTGCCTCAGCAACAGGACCGGGCTCGGAGCCTCAAATCCCGTCTCTGGCGATAAGCTGATGAACAAAATATCGCAGAAGCTTCAAGTCGAGTCGTGCTGCGCAGTTCCTCGGAATTGGCCGTGGGACGGCTCTTGGGGTGCACCATACACCTCTTCCGGTCTTGTGCCAAAGCACGGAAGCGGACCGAGCAGAGGGTAGAGGCTAACAGCAAGTGGGCCTAGGGGCCTTCTTGTCTTCGAACCCTATTATGCTATGTTATATTATATCTGCTATACTATTGATGCCCCTAGAATCTCGAGACCATTCGTTGCTTTCGTGAAGCACGACCATGGGATGACATGATAAAAGTGCCGTGCCGACCATCCTTGGCTTCGCCTGTTCTTTCCCGGTGCTAGCCGCTTGAAGGCGCAACACAAGCGAAGCAGGAAAAGGTTCTCGTTTGTAGAACATCTGGCTGAAATCTTGGCAGGTGCATCTCTGCGGCAACAATTCGATTGTTGTTTCGCCGGTCTTATGCTCCAAGCACAGAAGTTTCGGCCGGCTTTCTGTCGACCCTCGAAACTCGAGAGGGGCAGTGCCAACTTGATCCAATGATGTGCATATGGAGCTGTCCCGCTTCTGCCGTGCACAAGATGATCATCTTAATTGAGGCGAGGGAAGTAGGTAGGTAGCATGGAAACAAGAGTCAGCGCCCTCTTTCGCATTCTGTGGATGTCAGCTCCCGGCCGTCGGAGAGGGCTTTCACCTGAGTGTCGTCTCCGCACATGCATAAACAGCAATATCTTTCGGCCACACTATGACTAGAGCCCGTGACAAGTCTTGCATGTACAATCATATGATCATATGCGATGCAGTTGCAAAGCCGCTATATTGGCACATGAGTTTATCGAGACCAAATACCAGATTCTTCCTATAAAGATCTCTTAGGCAATTTCAAGAAAGCTAAATGATGCCCGTTATCGGCATGAAGGGCCCTGATGCCAAGCCGCCTTCATCCTCACGAGGTGTCGCTTCGCGTCCTCCCTTGGCTCCTGCTTTCACAAAGCATTCAATGCTAAAGATGAAGGGCTCTGAACGTTGAACGGGTACCTTCGTCAGGGATCCTTTGCAGAAGGATCCCAGTATGTATCATCTCTAGTGCAAGGCTCCCCCCCCACGCCACTTGTTAAAGAAAAGCCCTTCAGAAACTTCTCGTCGCTGTGTCCGCAGAGGTGCCCAAGCTTTAAGCCTTAAGTCTCGGGCGAAGGGCCAGGCCGCCAAGGAGCTCTAAGGACCGCTACTTTGGGAAACCTTTCCGACACGCCCGCCGGCATAGCGATCGTTGGCTATTACTGGCCCCACATTACTTCCACCTACCAGCACCGCCGCGATCCTGCTGCACCGCTAGCACGTTGATAGCACTACGGAGCCAGAATGCTATATTGTCTTAAGCGATCTTGTCCGTTCAGAGCCGCTCGGGCTCACAGCGATTTACTCAGACGGCATCCAGGCGACAAAGACGGCACGAGTCCTCAAGAGCCTGGAGCTTTTCTCCCACCTCGAGCTTTCGGATGGCTTTGCAAGCACCTGGCGACTTGGGCTTCTTAGGCTGCTTGACGTCTTGGTGTTCAGGGTTTGGGTATGTCATTGTTTCGGGTTCACCTAAATGGTCAAGGGACGTACTTGCAAACCTGATCCGCAAGCGAACACCAGTCTCGCAGGAGAGGGCCCACAGAAATCCGAGCAATCCACCACGACAGGCAGGTCCAGATGCTTCTGCTACGTCCAGCAGCAGGCGAGCCTATATCGAAGTTGTCTGTGAGGGCCACGCACCTTGGGGTAGCTTGGCACTTCCTATGCAGGTCCGCTGTCTGCTGCTCATTTAAGGCCAATGCCCTTTGCAGAGCAAGACATCGAGCAACTCGAAGAAGCACTTGCCGGATTCATCTTTGAACCTGCAGTTGCAACGGAGTCATGTCTGGAAGGCAGCTAGGATCTAGACTCTAGACTGGGACCACTGAGAAAGGCACAACACCGAGCCGACTTTGGCATCCTTGCAACAGAGAGGACATCATAGCTTTGGAAAGTCGCCTGATGGGTTGCAGGTCGGGTCCTTTATCGCTTTGCCCTTTGCTTTGCTCACCTGTCCGCTTCACCAGTGCCCCCAAAGTTGCACGGAAGTTGCTGGGACCCGCTTTCCGGCGGCCTCCGCAGTCTTCTCTAACCTGGGCCCTTCGAGCACCTCCAGGAGCTCACCATGGCCTCGGGCTCCCAGGGTCCAGAGTGTCCCCTAAAAACACCCCCAAAGAGGACCCAAAGCGCCGGACGTGCAGTTCCCAGAGGCTTTGCCGTAGAGGCCTCAAGGATTTTTTTAGCGACTCCTCGAGCTCCGCAGGAGGAGCTCTCAAGTCTCGGAAGTCTCGGGTTCCGGCGCAGGACTCCATCAAGGGAGTTTCTGCCTCCAAACTCTCTTTTCTTTCTACTGGCCACATCCAGAGAGAGAGAGAGAGAGTCAGAGAGAGCGGGCCTTACAGAAGTAGTAGGGCTTGCTAATCCTCTTCAGGAAGGCCGTGCCCTGCCGGGACGCAGGGTCCGCATCAGTCATTACTGCTCCCCCTTGCTGCAAAGGGCACCTGGTTCCCATTCAGAGTCACCCAGCCCTCGAGATTATCTCGTAGAGCTCGACATCGTGATCTCAGGAGCCCGGCGGCCTCTTCCTTATGAGCCCGCAACAAGGCACATGGCAGTTAAAATGCCTGCGACGCTGGAGGCTGCTGTGCATTGCCCTTAGGCCTGTGGCCAGCCATTCACCCGTTGGTTTTGGGAGAGCCCTCTCTCCCTGGACTCTCCCTCTCTCTCGCTCAAAAACCTTTCGATTGGGGAGGGCACCGCCCAAGCGTGCCCAAACTCCGGCTTGATTTGGCTTACCAAGACATGGAAGGAAGAGGGCCCCCTTCCCCATGCGCGAATGCACCCGTGCGACTTGGTCATGGCCACTTTGGCTTGACAGAAAAGGTTCGGTCCCCTTTTGAGGCCAAGCTTGGGTCTTCACAGTCAAAGGCAGGGGGAACTCCCCCAAACCGCGTGCGCATGCACGCCCTGGCCTCCTCGGTAGTCCATATGCACCATCACCCTCTCGCGCTCCCTCTTCTCTCCCGCTTTGGCTGGTACTGGTGCAGCATTACACAGATCGGGCGAGTATAGTCGACAGGGCACTCATCCGGGTTCTGCAGCACTCTCTCAGATCGAGGCCGTACTGTGTTGGCCAAGTACCTAGCAAGGTGCAGCGAAGCACAGGACTCATCGCAACATGCCCACGCAACAAGACACCGAAGACGTCTCAGCTTGCTCAAAGTTTCGGAGCATGCAGATATCATGTTCAGCGCACCTCCACAGTTTCTTCGAGCTCGAGCTTCCTCATTGCAGTACTTCCCTTGACCTGTTCACAGAACTATATAGCTTGGTTTGGGGGTTTCGTTGTTGATTGAGCTGGTCTGTACATAGGTAGACTGTTAGACTCCGGCTGGAGTGCTGGTTGGGTTGTCTGTAGCTTCACACGCCATCCAGAGTCCAGCTATCCCGCCTCCAAAGCGGGGGTCACTGCGACTTCTTTGACGCACCTGGGCTCAGGGGAAGAGTGTCACGAAAACGAATCGTGAAGCTATGCACAATCAAGCTTGTCCGAAATTGCAAAGCTCTGGACGTTCTGTATTCCTCTACCTCGGATTGGCAACCAACGTTGTTTGAATATTGCTGCAGCTATCGATGCGCTTCTTGTCTTCCGATGGCTTCCGAGGCCATCACTAAATCAAGCAGAGCAAAGCGAGTCAAGTTGGCCTAGCACACCACGGGCGATTGCTGAAACAGTGCAGTCAAGTCGCAGAACGGATAGGAGAAAGCATTTCAAGCATGCATAGTAGTATAGCAGAGGTCATGGTGGCTGTTCTTCCCAAACGGTGCCTCAAAGCCCTGCAGAGCCAGTTCCAGTTCTGCCTCTCCCATCCTCACGCCTGCCACTGTTGACACTGGGCCGCTGAAAAGGTCGGTCGTGCTCTGGGTTGCAGGCTGTTCAGCAGAAAAGTCCGGAAGGAGGCCAATGTGATGGTGCCATCCTGTCTTTGTCGCGACTGGATCCAGAAGCTGCTGGACTCGCGGGTCTCCTCTGCAGCGTCGTCGCCTTCCAAGGCGGAAAACCCGCACTGGGGCAGAGGTATACAACAAGCTTGCGTTGCGTATACTACAATATGTAGAGTTGCGTATGTATATATATATATATATATATGTTCATACACAAAAGAATGCACAACAGAATGTGTAGCCATATGCGTGCATTCGTATGTGTGTATATATATATATATACATCCGCATATCGAATCAAAGAGGCTACTGCGACACTCCGCTCTTTTTAACCTCGCTGGTGCTCTCTCAGTCTGTAGAACCCGCGACTGCGGGAAATGCTTTGGTAAAACATCCGGATGCATGAGGCTAGCCAACCCGGGTCGACACCGGGTTGCAAGCCTCACCTCGAACCAACACGGTTCGGTATCCCTCCGAATGCAGTCGAGAAAACTCTCGCTGCCCACCCTAAAGAGAGGATAACCCCACGGGGGATCGTCTCAGAAAAAGGGAGGGAGGGCGGGCAACAAAATCCTGCCGTTTTGGCTCAACTGCCCGGCTTGAACCAAAAGGCATGATAACGAAAGCAGATGATACATGTGCACCCAAGCCTGCCAAACTCTACACATGGCATACATCCGCATATCGAATCAAAGAGGCTACTGCGACACTCCGATCTTTTTAACCTCGCTGGTGCTCTCTCAGTCTGTAGAACCCGCGACTGCGGGAAATGCTTTGGTAAAACATCCGGATGCATGAGGCTAGCCAACCCGGGTCGACACCGGGTTGCAAGCCTCACCTCGAACCAACACGGTTCGGTATCCCAATGCACTAGTCCCAAAGCACTCCTACAGAAACTGAAACACCAGCATGGCCGGAACCAGAGGCAGAGACCACACCTTGGATGGAAAAAGAGCGTGATGAAGGCAGAAGCCGCGAGAAGCGGCCCAGGGATCCGACGCATCCAATCGACTGATCGAGTCGGACCAGTTGGACTTACTGGGCACCCACTCCCAGTAAACCCAAACCTGGAGAGAGAAGAGGGCCACATGAATGAGATGCACAAGCCGCTCGAGGTCAGGAGAATCGGAACGCCCTCGAATGAGTGCCATAAGCGCTGCCACGTTGTCAATGTACCACGTGCCGCGACGAGAGCGGAAGGTAGAGGCCCGGGCTGTGAGGGCGAAGAGAACCATTGATAACTCGAGCTGCGCGACTTTAACCTCACCTGGGAGGAAGGCATCGTAAGTGTGCCGGTCAATCTGTGCCACGAAAGGGTAGGCATCCGGCCAGTCCTCGCCCCCTCCTTCCCACTGGTCTTCCTCCAGCAGGTGGCTGACCTCTGCCGCGCTGGCGCTCCTCATCGCCAAGGAGACGTGCTGGGCTGGGCGGAGGGCTGAGCAGAGGACCAATTTGTTGGCGTCCGAGCTGAGCTCGCTCTGCCCCCGTGATCTGCGTTGTCAATCACTCTCTGCTTGCCGGAGGCCTGGGAAATGACACACCGTGGTATCAATCGAATTGGCTTGCCTTTGGTATGGCGGAGGAGCTCCGACCAAGATACGGGCGCCGAACAAAACCAGCCTCAAAATCTTTGGTAGATTGCTCCAACAAAAAGTCGTCATGCGGCCCCGGCCGAATAGAGCCCTGAATAGACTTGTTATGCGAGTCGACATTCTCGAAGAGCCGCTGGAGAGGGATAACCTCGAAGCTCTGCTGCGGAAAGACACCACAAGGAAAGGAGGTGCCGACCACAAACATGCCAAAAAGGAGATGGGAAGGGAGAGTGGTATCTGGCCACGAAAGGAGGACGACGAAAAGGCTAAGCAGTAACCTTCCGGATCGCCGGAGTCTGGAGCTTGCGCAGGTGGTCCCCCACCTGGCTCCACCGGCGCTTCAACTCCCGGAGTGGGCCGACACACTCTCGCCTCAACTCGCGGAGGCGGCCAAGGGACCCGACGGTCATCAATGGAGATCCTGGTCCAACACCGGAGGATGCTCCGTTGGCAAGGGGTCGGCCCCTCGAGCCACGGCCTGCCGGAAATGCTCGTCCGGCGACAGGCCAAAGGGGAGAAGGGGGGGAAGCGCCGCCCGCCCTGCCAGCGCCCCTGCCTGTTGCTGCATCAACCTGCAGGCGGGGTCGGAGAGAGAAGGGCCTAGCGCGCTATCCCAGCGAAGCCCTTGCTCCCGCAGCCACTGGGGGAAAAGGGTGAAAGGAGGGCTGTTAACCAAATCTTCGATGAAAGGGAAGACGAAGCCGCGGAAGGCCGATGAAGGGAAGAGGCTGCGGAAGGCTGCCACGATCGACTCCTGGGAGGAACACGGACGCTGGCAACTGCGTGAAGGCAGCCCATACGGCGCTCCCCGCCGGAGCTGGCTGGCCGCGCCACGGGCTCGATGCCAACTGGTACCACACGAGGCCTGCTAACACATCCCTCTCGCACAGCGACCTGACGGGGCAGTCGCAGACCAAAGTGGCACCCCGGAGCTCCGGGAGGAACGTCCGGTGCGCCCAGAGCCGGGGAGGGTTCCAGCCTTTCGTGGGTACATTCACACGTGCAGCAACCATTGTCCGCCCAGGGAGTGACCCGGCTCAAGCGTGGAGTGACTACCATGCATGCCGTTCCTATTTGTCGCCGGGCGACATCACGGCCCTGCATTCGGGCCTTTGGCCTACAGACTTGCTGCCGAACCACCTCTACGCGCTCTTTTCTCGGGTGGCGGATCAGACCCATCCTCGGGCAGCCAGCTCAGCCGAGCTCTGGATGGTGTTCCGGCGTTGGCAGGCTGGGAGCCGGGTGTGGATCGAGCCCGGAGTCGAGGTCCCTTCTTGGGAGGCTGGCCGGGAGGATGGGCGGGCCCGTGCGCATAGAACCAGGCTTACGGGCCGGGCTTGTTACCGGCGGCCTGCCACAGCTGTGGGGTGCCCACCGTCTTCCGATGTGGAGACTGCCTGGGCCGCTGCATTCGGTGCACGTGAGGGCGGGCGGTTCTGGAAGGGGCGTTCCCTTTATTATGACCGGCAGGAGCCGGCAGCCGAGGAGTTGACCTCTGGCCTTTGATAACTTCGGGGTGGCGACTCCCGAGGCTCCAGAGCAGGGGCTGCACCCAGGGGTGGCGACCCGCCTGGTCTTGAGTCTTTCTCCTGCTCTTCTACCATTGCCGCTGCCAGTGTTCCGAGAGCTGGTCCTCGGTCTACCGAGTCGATGTGGAGTGCCGGGCAGGAGGGCAGCTGCAGGTGATAAGGCTGCCATTGCCAGGACATGCAACCACCAGGGAAGTCCTGGAAAGGTTAAGCCCTCGGAATCAGCTTCTACGGCTGCCTCTCGGCTCAGGCCTTTGCTAGCAGCTGCGATGGCCGGTGTGTACGCGCAGCAGTCGCTCGAGGCGGCTGGGGATGGCGACAACCGCCTCTTTGGGGAGGGCACCCCAGTAGAGGTTCGGGTGGACGCTTGGCGCCGTGTTTTGGGCCTGGTCGAGGACGAGGAGTTCGTCTAAGTGTTCATGTCGGCTACCTGAACGGTAGCCGCGTCGGTCCGCGAGAGGGTCGACGAAGGCAAGGCACTGGCCTTTGCCCACGAGGCAGCCCAAGCAGGGGCTTCAGCAGTCAAGCCCTCCATGAAGCCCCGCTCAGCGTTGCCGAGGCGGCGCGCAACCATGCCTAAGGCACCGTTGCAGGCACGCGCCCCTGTGGAACGCGCCACCTTGGAGACACCATTGGTCGAGGAGCTCGCCGACCTTTGGGTAGATGCCAAGGTTCAGCGCCCAGCCGGCGAGCTTAATGCAGGGCGCCAGGCCGAGTGGGAGAGCTTCGTGCGGCGTCGGGCCGCAAAAAGTGTGCAGCGAGGCGGAGGTGGCTACAATCAAGAAGGCCGTGGTCTCCTTGCGTGAGCTTCAGCACTTTCAGGTCGCCCGTGGCCGCGATGGGCTCGAGGAGGTGGACACCCTCGATTTGGATGCCTTCATATTTTCTTCTGCCGCTCCCCACCGCGCTGTGGCTGGCTTGCGCTGGGCGGCTAAGCAGGCGGAGCTCGCCTGGCGGATTCCGGAGGCACCTCGTACCGAGCAGCGCCAGAAGCCTAAGGACGAACGGCAGGCCACGCTGGCCGAGCCGCCCATGTTGGTTCACCTGGAGAAGGTCATCGAGGAGCGGTGATTGTTGGGGGACCCCCGGTGGACAGCGATGCTGGGACAATGGATGCAGGCTTCCAGCTGCATGCGGTATGCCCACCTTCGCCGCAGCGAGGTCCTGCGCATCACGGGGTCGACCGTGCATGCCTTCTGCAACAAGGGCAAGCAGCGCCGGCTGCGCCAGGGCTTTTATTTCGCTATCCCAGCCCCCTTCGCCTCCGGGTGGAACTGGACCGAGCCCTGGAAGACGGCCTTCGAAGCATTGCCCAAGGGCAGACAGAGCCAGTGCGGGCTCTGCTTCGACAATCGTGGCTTTCCTTGGTCGCTTCGGGAGTCTACCCTGGCAGTGCAGTCGGCCTTTACAAATGTGGTGGCCAACTCGGAAGAGCTGACCTCCTACAGTTGGCGGCGCTTGGGCCCTTCATTGGCGATGCTGGCGCGGCTCTCGCCGAGCGAGTCGAACGCTCTGGGCGACTGGCAAGACCGCGTGTCGGATCAGCGGAGCGCCATGCCGGTCCACTACAGTGGCCTGCGATACAAGGAGAGCGTGCGGGTTAAGCACCTGATATGGGCCTATATGGGGGAGCTGCGCCCCTATCTAAGTTGGGAGTCGGTGACTCCGCAAGACGTCGCGGAGCACACCACGCTTGCCCAGTCACTCTGCGAGGCACAGGTGCGGGCCGACAAGGAGGTCCTCTGGCAGGGGCCCGCCTTCGCAGCCCACAGGCCGAAGAAGTTCACCATGCGGTTGGCGGCCCCTTTGACGCGACGATCGTTGGGCGGGCCGGTGCTGCCCTTGGCGAAGCTGAAGTCCCGGAAGAGGTCCGAGCCGAAGGCTGCAGCGAGCAGCTCAGCCCGCCCTAGTTCGGCGGCGGCTGAAGTTCCGGCCCCGGGCTCACCGATGCCCCTTTTATCGGAAGGCACAAGACGTCGCAGGCTGTCAAGGATGGCAGCCGGCTGTGCACCAGCTTCAACCTCGGGAACTGTCGGCGGGAGGCTACCTGCCCATACTTGCACAGATGCGCCGCCACCAAGCTGTCGACAGACGGGTCTGCGGTGGTAAGCACCCGGCGTCCTTATGCCGATGCAAGAAATATGGCCTTTCGGACGAGTACGTCATCCCGGCGCAACCGGCTATTCCTACACCTGGTTCCAGGAGGCGCCCTGCGGAGACACCAGCCGAAGGAGCAGCGAGGCGGCCCCGCCGCTCCCGCTGGTGCCGCCTATGGGGGCTCTCCCGTGGGGAGCAGGGTCTGGTACTGGGCGCCCGCGTGAAGCGCCGTCTTCGGCACGCCGGGCTGGTACTCCTGCCGCATCTGGCTCTGACGGTCGTGGGTCCGGAAGTTCATCGGCCACGCCGCCCCAGACCAAATAAGCGATGCCTAAGTCCTTGAGGACGAGGCCAGTGGTGGACCCCACGGCGACGGAGAACAGGCTGCCTTCGACCGTTGGGCGGGTCGACGCAGCGGCCAAGCTGTATTTGGGAGTCCCCGGCGGGAGGGAAGTTGCTCCTGTCCGGGCTGCCGCTGGAAGAGACACGCGGCCAGTTCGAGAGGATCCATCTGCAGGTGACTTGTATGGAGCAAACTCCGGAACGCAAGGGGGGAATATCCCTCTGCAGCCGCAACGTCCTCTTTAACATTGCGGCCAAGCGCTCTCGGGAAGAGGAGTGGCTCTGCATTTTCGCGGAAGTTGCCCGCACAGTGCTGTCCGGAGACAACGTCTTGGCACACTGTATGGCAGGGCGCCACCGTGCTGCGACCACCGGCGTGGCATGCCGTGCGGTGCTTGCGGGCGAGACCCAGGAGGAGGCGACACGGGCGATGCTGAGGGTTCGGGAGATCGAAGTGGGCCGAGTTATTCAGCAAGACCGCAGCCTGGGTGTGTGGTTGGCAGGGGCCGTGCGTAATACGCGGATCCCCCCGACTCCAGTGCAACCAAGGGGCTATATCGCCACCGAGAACTCGCACCTCCACCTGGAGTCCCCGGAGGAAGGCGTCCCTATCTGCAAGCACAGCAGGGCATCGAGAGACGCCGTTTGACCAACCCGCAGCGCACGACTAGCAAGCTAGAGGCCATCGGATGGGAGCGACCCATCTGTGAGGGCTGCTTTTCTCGGGCGTCCTCCAAGTATTTTCCGGCCTAGGCACCTCGACGAATCGAGGCTTTTGCCTTTCGATGCCGCTAATTCAAGTCGACAAGTTCGCCACCAGCAATCTTATTTTGCGGGTGCCGCATAAGAGCCCGTGTGCCCGCCGTGGCTGGTAGCGTACCTTTGCCCGAGAAGCGAGAAAAAGAAGGGAGCTCGGGCCGCAGAGTGTAGGAGCCGTGGCTGTGGTGATACAGTTGTGAGTGAGCGCCTGCACCTCGTCCCTAGCCTCCGCCCCCCCCCCTTCATTTGCTTTCTGCTGCCCTCTCCTCTCTCTTTCTCCCTCTCTTGCCTCGGTCTGGTCAGTCGGGTCTTGCCTTGCTCGAAGGTACCGCTACCTCGGAACAGACCGAGGGGTTCGCGGCGCGACGCGCTAGGCGGGGAGTCCGACCCCTGACTGAGGGTTCGATCGGGGAGCCGACCTCGGAGTAGGATCCATGGCGTCAGTTTCGCTTGTCCCTCGATTTGAGCAGGACATAAA